CAGGCTGAACACCCCCAACTCTCCCAGCCTGGCCTCAGAGCAGAGGGGCTCCAGCCCTCGGATCATTTTAGTAGCCCCTCGGAGCATTTTAGTAGCCCTCCTCTGGCCCCGCTCCAACAGGTCCATGTCCTCCTTGTGCTGAGGGCTCCAGAGCTGGACGCAGGGCTCCAGGGGAGGTCTCCCCAGAGCAGAGCAGAGGGGCAGAATCCCCTCCCTCTCCCACTGATCATGCTGCCAGGGATGCAGCCCAGGGTAGGGTTGGTCCCCTGGGGTACGCTATTGCATATGTTGCTTTTTTTTAGAAAAAAAATAAAAACAAATCAACAACCGAAGACCTGCAATGGTTTTCATGACATTGGGTAAGAGCTGGGCCATCTCAGTGGATTCGTGTGTGTTGGGACGTTGAAACATTTTTTAAAATTAAGTTTAAAATTAAAATTAAAAATAAAAATAAAAAAATAAAAATAAAATTAAAATTATAAATCCAAATTATGATTACAAATTAAAATTAAAATACCTGAGTCAATAGCAATAACCACCCTGGGTGCACAGAAAAAATGGTTAGTTAGCATGACATACCTGATTAGCAGTGAATGAGGTCAGCAGATAGGCGCCATCTTCATATGCGTCTATCAAAAAAGAAAGAATAAAGTAAAATGTGTTTGCTGCTCCCCGTCATTATTTTTTTTTTTTAAATTAAATAGAATTTTGCCACGCATGCTCCAGGCGTGTGTGCGCCTTGTGTGAACTCCCTGCAACGTTGAGGCCCGTTAAAAAGAAATCATTAAAAAAAAAAATCATGATTTTTGGATTCCTTGTGATATCCTCATGGTATTTGAATGTATTAATATTGCGGAAATTCGTTAAATTTCCCCCCTTCACCCCCGGCTGTGTTCCCCTGAGGCCTGGGAACAAATCCTGATGCATTGGCCTTAGGTTAGGGCACAATTCCATCCATGCAAAATAAATATTCCATAAATGACAACATTACGTTATTGATTTACCACCGGTTTACTCCTTTTCCCAATTTTATTTTACATTTTACTGCCATTTTAGTTTAATTACTTAAATTTAATCATTTTATTATTATTATTTTCTGGTTTGCCCTCACACTGCTGCGTGAATAATCCCAAAACAAGGACTCATGCTGATGACCCGCCAGCCTCAATTAAGATCTCATGGACTCCAAATTAATGAATTTATTGTAGAAACAAGAAACTTGAGGCTTACCAATGCGCACCCCATCATCCCAATAAAGGCGACCTTCTGCAAGCTGGGTGTCGTTCAACGCGACGGTAAGGGCCAATGGGTTTTTTCGGCTGCAAAAAACAAAGAAGATCATCCTAGGGTGAGCGCATTTGATGCTTCTCAACATAAATAATAGAATTTACATCGTAGAAGTTGTGTGCAGTGCAGTTTAGCTCCGCTTACCAGCCTTCCCCAGTCCGTAGCGTTCTCTTTAAAGGAGGCCACGGGGAGGAAACCAAAAAGAGGGGGAAAAAAATGGCCACAGGTATACAGTGCTACCACACCAATTGACTTTCTCAGGACCGCTGATATCATACAAAATACGACACAGAACGGGCAATAAATCCGAGTACGGTGCATGTTAAACCAGAAAAATTTTCAGATAATCCCAGACTGGCAGGGGTTGGAAGGGACCTCCAGAGATCACCCAGCCCAACCCCCCTGCTCAAGCAGATTCACCTAGAGCATGTTACACAGGACAGCATCCAGGAGGGGGTTGAGTATCTCCAGAGAAGGAGACTCCACAGCCCCCCTGGGCAGCCTGTTCCAGTGCTCCATCACCCTCCCAGGCAAGAAGTTCTTCCTCATGTTCAACTGGAACCTCTTCTGCTTCAGTTTGTGCCCATTACCCCTTGTCCTGGCGCTGGGCACCACTGGGAAGAGTCTGGCTCCGTCCTCGTGACACCCACCCTTGAGATATTTGTACGTGGTGATGAGATCCCCTCTCAGCCTTCTCTTCTCCAGGCTGAACAAGCCCAGCT